GGTGTATAATCAATCTTCAATATAACATGTTTAAAAAATGATATATCAATCAATCGATTTCAGAGATTCATTGGTATGTTGGTAATCTGCATTTAAATTTGCTTCACTGAAATTATTATGCAAGTAGCTAAAATTAGAAGTAAATAAAATTTCATATTTGTTACTAGACTCCAATTGGTGGTTCAAAGAAGAGATAAATGAAAAAGATAAACTCAAAATGAGATTTTGAGGGCTATTTTTTTGGGTTGAGCTGCCATACTGATTAAGACCATAGCTGCTGACAAAATGCAAGAAAGGAAAACAATGCTAATCTATATCAGTAAAGTTTAAATCTTGTAGTATGAACACAGCTCTTTAAGAAAAACATAAATTAGATTTTACACTGGCTTTCATATAATCAATAGATTCTTTCACAACGACAAAAATGGTAATTGTCTGGGGCGCGTAATTTTCAAGGGCCAGACATACCGGTTAATAAAAATCCCTAAACTATCGATTTTTTCAAAATTGTCAAAAAAGTTTTACAATTTACGAATATGAAACAAGTGCTTTAAAAAAACAGATGTAAAAAAAAGATATGCATATTTAATCTGATATAAAATTTTACCCAAACAACCTCTAACGTAAAATTAAGAGAAAAACAGCAGATGATAAATCAATCAATCAGCTTTCTTCAAATCCAATAAACGAAACCTATATATCGAAAATAACCCAAAATTAACATTGGTTTATGGGGAAAGAGAGCAATATTTAATGAAAAATATTGCGGATTTATTTTTTTATTTTTTCTTTCTGTTTCTTTGTGATAAAGCATTATGATTGTTCTAATAGTAAAAAAAGAAATTTCGCTTGTTTTAAGATTAACTTAAAGTAATGAGATTTATAATAATTTCTAAAGATTGTATGTAAAATAGTTATCTGGTCTTAGTCTTTTTTTAAACATACTTAATACACCCCAGAATTTTGGCTTAATACTCAAAATTGTAAAGGCCTAAATATGATGGTATAAGTTAAATGCAGGTCTTTGGAGTCGGGGTCGTGGAGTCGAAGTCACGACATTTGTAGCGGAGTTGGACTCGGAGTTAAAGTTGCTAAACAAAATCGCGACTCCGACTCAAATAGTAAAACTTCTCAGTATTGCACGTGTATGTACAAAATGTTGTAGTTGGTGTTGTAGTCGGAGTCGTACTCTAAATATTTCAGCAATTGGAGTCGGAGTCGGAGTTTGTTCTTTTTTTTTCCACACCGATTGTTAAATCGAATGATGAATAACGGGTTATTACTAAAAAACGGTAATGACTTTGAAGGGGCATAGTTCTATTAGTACATGAGATAAAAACTTAATTTTAAAAAGATTATAATAGTATTTTTAGGTGGATAATTTATTTGTATATTAATTTTTTTCAATCAAACTATTGCGTTTTACTTAATCTAAACGCCGCCGAATTGACTCAGAAAGGTGCTGTGCAAGAGATTTTTCCATTTTAGAAAAACTTTATTCAGTTGTGCAAATTCTTAAAATTATCAGCTTTCCAATTATTCTCATACACTTTTCTTTTGAGAAAACTCCAAAAATTGGACGACATTCAGGCACATTAGCAGAGTTATCTTTTCTTTTGACAAAAATAATACTTTTCTCATTCATGTAGTTTTGTACAAATTTTGCGTAATGAGACGTGTCAGATCAGGCCAAAATATGTATTTGTCATCAGAATGATGCTTTTTGATAAAAGGAATTAGTTTGTTCTTGATACAATCATTTTTGTAGACTTCTTGGTTGATTGCAAAGCCACTTTCTCTAAATATTGGCGAAGATATTCCTTTATCGGAAAAATAGTTTGCAGTGTGGTTTTATATTTTGCAGTGAGGTTGAATTTTGACACTTGTTGATTTAAAGAAATATTACTTAAATAATAAATATCATTTCCATTAATCGAAGTGTGGTTAAATGTGAAAACGACTCGTCGTCAAGGATTAACAATTAATTGGCGGAAATTCGATACAGCCGACCACATTTCGTTAGAGCTGTCTCTATTTGGTCACAAGTTCTTAATAGAATATTTTTATTCTTCTTTGGCCTGATTAAGGACTTTGCTTTTAATTTTTTGCCAATATATACATGGATGCACTTAAATTTCCAACAAATTATTTTAATTTAAAATAAAACAAGTTTTTTAGAGAATTGAAAACACTACAAACTAGGTAAGATTGTAACCTTAATATAAATTTTTTTACGTAACTTTGTCTTCAAAGTCGTTACCGTATTTTAGTTATAACCCGTTAAAAAGAAGTTGCTTTTCAAATAAAACCTTTAAATTTTGAAACTATTTTTATTCAGTGTGCATGCCATATAGATCCAGCAAACATATTTGAAGTGAGTTGCAGTGAACCTAAATATGCATTTAGAGCGGTTTATTGAGGTTTTGCTCATCGGTTACTTAGTGGACCATAATTGGCATATGCTAGTGGATAGCCAATAACTTTTCAACATGTGATATAATGGCTAGTTATCGGCTTGACACTATTGGTCAACTAATTAATCGATAATCAAAACGACAGTGGACCGTTTGAAATGCCGTTTCACTGAAATTCCGCTATAAATGTTTGCTGGGAATTTAATTTAGTTTTACTGGCTGCATGCAAAGTACAATTAGACAACAATCTACTTGACTAACTAAAGAACGTTTTTTATTTTTTTAAATTGTCTCTGTAGTAGCGAAAAAATTCAGAAAAATTTAATTAATACATAATAAGTATTGATTAAATTTATTTGACTTGAATATTTTTGTTAAGTACTATTTATAAAACAAAATGGGTTCAAAAGCTGAGAAGAACTCTTGATATGTTATTTTTCTTGTACCTGTCTCTTATGACTTAAATCAAATAAAATTAAATGAATCAAATAAATGCTATAGTGATACTAGTTCTAAGTCCTCTTAAATTGTTTTGTTTATAGAGCCTTGTTTTTTTTTCTTTTTTATTTTATATATTTACTAAAAAAGTGCTCTCTTTTCCACGGCTGCACTTTTCGATAAAAACGTTTCAATAAGGGGCCATCCATAAAGGACGTCACCATTTTTTAGCCAATTTTTGACCCCCTCCCCCCCGTCCTCCTTTAACACCGGTTGTCCTTTTTCCCTATACCCCCTTGAAAAGGATGTCATAAAATCCTGAACCCCCCCCCCCCCCTCCTTCCTCTGTTTTTAACTCCAAAAAAATTTATTTCATCTCGCAATGATGTTTGAATCTGCTGCTACACCTTTGAAAAATAAAATCAAAAATATTCTCATACATTATCTTCTTAAAAACACATGTTTACGTAGTTTTCCATGTTAATTAAACTAAAATAAAAATTCTATAAAGTGACGTGCTTTTCTGACAACCTCCCCCCTCCCCTTGTCCTTTTTAACTCGACCCCCTCCCCTTCCCCCTATTTTGATGACGTCCTTTATGGATGGCCCCTAAAAATGATTTAAAAGTGTTTATAGATATCACTAGTATGGTGGTATCGTGCGCAAAACAATGATCTAGATGATAAAATAGATATCATTAGTATGGTAATATCATACGCAATTAATGATGTAGACGATAAAAACAATGATGACCATTGAAAACATAAAGAAATATCTGGGAATTGCTGCAGAGTTTATTGAAGTAAATCTTTTAGCTAAAGAACTGAAAGGCCTATCTATCTTTATTAAGTAATACAACATGGAATTAAAGCAGCCTGTCATAAAGTAAATTGCATATATTTTAACTATGCAAGAAGTTTCTTCCAGAAACGCATAAGCTCTTGATGCTATTGTCTAAATATGTTATGTGATCGGTAACTGCTGAAAGGACGTTTAACGTGATGAGGTGGATTAAGACATAGCTACGGTTACAAATAACTCCAGAAAATTGGAAATCATCTATTGTTAAAAAAAATTTAACCGAATAGAGGGTTATTTATATTTTATGTCAACAATGGGAACAGCAAATTATTAAACATTGTTACACGTTTCATAAAAAATAATTCAAATTGTCTTATAATGTAATTTTAGTGATACATCAACAATATGTGATCGCTTTTGCCAAGACTTTATTTTTTAAAAATGTTATCGTAAATTTTTGACTCTACATACATCAAGATTAAATACAAAAGAGGTGACAATTCTAAAGATACAGGTAGCCATAACTCTTTTGATCCCAAACTCATTTTTCTCAATAGTAAAAAAGAAAAGAAAAAACAGATTGCTAGAACAAATTCATATTAATTCTAATAAACATAGCTTTAAATTGTTATCAAAAAAGTAAGTAGATATACGCGAAAAGCAGCAAATAAATATGCTATCTATATAAATATTTTTGCATTCTCAATAAAATTAAAAATTTTGCATTCTCAATAAAAAACAAAAAAAAAAGGGTTGTACCCACATAGCCCTTGGTGCCGCTGTATTGCAGTTACAAAATTTCTGGAGAATCTGTTTATAAATTAAGTCGATTATTAGGATTTTGAAAAAAAATTTCCGTAGACTAAATAAAAACTCATTAGTATATTTTTAGATCTTTTGCAAACAAGTCAAACCAAAAGGTTTGGGTGGAATTCTAATCACTTTTCTTTTAAAATGTTTTTATATAATATATAAGATTTATTATTTGTTATAAATATATTTTGATTATTAAGGTTATCCAAAAAATCTAACGATCCAGTCACAAAACTGCGGGAGAACATTTAACAAAAAACTTCACGGCGCCTTTCTTACCGATTAACCAAATATTGCCAAAGCAGCAATCGAACCTTGGGCCCGTTGATTCCGAAGCAAACGCTCTATTATTAGGCCCTGGCTGCTCCACTGCGCCACGACTACTTACTTTGAATCAATTCGTACCAGATTGAACAACTCTTAACAAACTTCAAGAATCCAGTTGATCAACTGGATCAAGTGATCTTTATGTAGTAATGGATGTTTAAATGGATGGGTTTTTAATATATTAAAATTAAATTAAAGATAAACAAGTAACTTTTTCAATATTTTTTTCTTTTAATTTACACGAAGAAAATTTAAAAACAAAATCTTGCATTAGTAGTTTGCCCTAAAACACTTTGAAATTTTTAATAAACTTTCATACGTTATTTCGTTTTCTCGCTATTGTATTGGATACTTTCCTTCTTTTATCAGTTGATCGCGTTGTTTAAGTATCTTATGAACGCGTGTTCTCTATATAAAGACAAAAGATAATAATTAAAAAAATGTAATATAAAAATTGATATGGTATAAAATTATTAGGGATCATTCTTTACTAAAATAATATTGTATCATTGAACCTCACCCTTCCTAATATAATAATAAAAAAGTTTAATCTAAACTTCTTTTATATACATTTTTATGGAGATTGCGGTCATCTTTAATAAAAAATAATTTTTATGATAAAACTCACGTGATAAAAGCAAAAAAGGAGCCCCTGACATTTTTTCATGTAAATATTGTTAATACGTGCTTTAACAGCTACCACACTGTCGTAGAAAGTGAAAATATTGATAATAAAAAGGCCGATAGGCATTGGCCCCCACTTGCCAAACTTTATTATAAAACATAAATTTAGCATAAAATATACAAACATAAACACAAGTTTACACCCCCCTCCATTTACTTTTCCCAGAAAAAAAAACATTGCGCTGCGATCCTTGCAAGGTACAGAGACTCGCATCTTATGGGATGTTGTTGGACTCCTTTATATACCAAATGATGACTTTAAAGCCCAAAATACTAAAAAGAGAGTCTTACTCTCTAATATCATGAGTCATACGAGATTGAGTTTTGGTTGATGGAAAAAGAGATGATAGTTCATTTGTGCAGTGGCCATTATAGTATTTATAGAAAAGTGAAAGAGATAACCACTTTAAATCTTAAGCTCAATTTTCTAAAAAGAAACATATTCTGACTTAATAACTTTTCTAGGCTCTTCAATTACACATTTATGACACATGACAACGAATTATTTTAGCGAATTACAACTTGAATTTATAGAATTACTAAGTTTTTGTGATGCTTGAATTATTTAAATTTAATATTAAAAAAAAAAAAAATTTATTGCAAAAAAACTATCAAATAAATTTTAAGTTTAAATTTGCATGCAAATACTGAATTACTTGCATGTTTAATCTCAATCTCTCATTGCATGCTTAATCTCAAACTCAAATAGTCAACTTTCCAACTCGATTCCCAAACAACCCCAATCATTTACCTTCTCTACTCAACTTATGTCGTGTTTCTGATCCTAGTCAATGCTCAGTTTCTTCACATTCACCCTAAGATGCTTCTGATCACAGTTTGATCTCTCTAAAACTGTTCTCATCTTTTTCATCATCATGATCCCCCTATCATCGTACCTCTTACAACTACCTTAAAGCTGACTGGGACTCTTTCCATGATTTTCTTTGTGATGGCCCTTGGGTAGAAATCTTTCGCCTTCCTGCTGACAAATGTGCTTCTTACATAACTTCTTCGATTCAGATTGGCATGGAATCTTTTAGTCCCTCTCAATTCCAAGTCAAGCCTCACTTTTCTCCATGGTTTTCCTCGCATTATGCTCCTGCAATTTCCAATCAAAACCATTACTTCCATATCTATCAGGAAAACATTTCTCCAGAAAACAGACGCCTGTTTAATATTGCTAGAAAGCATTGTAAAAATGTATTGTCTAACGCCAATGCCCGCTATTCTCAGGTGATGAAATCTCGTATTTCATCTCAAAAATTAGGCTCTCATGACTTCTGGAGAATCTTTAACAGTATCAATAAAAAGGGCTAATCTGTTATTCCACATCTTTAGTATGGTTCAGATTTAGTCACCTCACCAAAAGAGAAAGCTGAATTGTTTGCTAAGAACTTTTCATCAACATCGTTTCTCGATTCCACTATATGCGTTCTACCTGATATAGCCGACAAACAGGTTGATCCATTGCTTGACATTCATATCTCTCCAGCTTCTGTATTCAAAGTGATTTCTTGCTTAGACTCTTCCACAGCTTGTGATCTGGACAACATTCACCTGTTATAGTCTTGCAGAAGTGTTCTCCAGAGCTGTCGTCTATACTTTCAAAACTATTTTGAAATGCTACCCACTGTGCTCTCCTGAGACCGCCAGGATAAATTTTGGTTTACTCTAATTTTTTTTTTTTTTATTACTATTATTGGGTTAAGTAAAGTGTTTTAAAATAATTTTTAAAATCTAAACTCACTTTGTAACATCAAAAATTGAGATTTAATGAATTAAAATATCTATAAAAATTACGTCATTTTAAGTTTACATCATCTATTCAAAACGGATAAAAAGACTCTATGTTACCGTAACTTACGGCAATATTTCGTAAAGCATTCGGGTAAAACATACATGTTATTTGTCAAAATGGCTGAAGCAAAATGTTTAATTTGTGCTTGAAACATCAAAGTTGAATGATTGGATTGAAAAAATATCTAAAAGTAACAGACAAAAACTCTGAAGATCATCTGATTTTAGTGAAATATCTGAACAGATGGCAAATGATAATCAAGAGATCATCGATAGAGTTATTAAAAAGATATGTACTTCATGATTTTCTTCAATAGGTATTCTTCAGCAAATTTAAAGTGTTGTACTGTTTTTATTTTCAATTTTTTAAAAATAATTAAATTCTCTATAATATTTATATAATAACATATACTTTTAGAATTGGAAATGTATCTTCTTGGAAATGTATCCAGTAAGCAAGTTGCTTCTGGGATTCTCAAAAAAAAAAAAATGAAAAGGGACAATATTAAACCTGGAGATAAGTTTCCTTTAAAGACTTTTGGAAACAACCTTCTTGTTGTTGTTGGCACACCTGATAATAAAGGTAACAGAGCATGCCTTAAAAAATTGTCTTTCGAAGCTATAATGGAAATCTCAAATACTCTAAACCTAAGTAAAAGAAAAACAAAACTACTTTGCAAAAATATGCGACAAAACTTAGGGAAAATGATGTTAGAACCTAATATATCAACTCAGATTGAAAAGCTGCATAACACTTTGTCAGATTTTTATGATGTAAAAACTGAATCATTCATTTCAGGGAATGAAGAGATAAGTCACAGTTTGGTATTTATAAAAGATACTTCTGATTTAATTCTTCGCATGATTAAAGAAAGCGGTTTGAATCCTTATTGCACTGTTGTTAGAATTTCAATTGATGCTGGACAGGGTTTTCTTAAATATATTGTAAATGTTTTTGATCCATTATGCAAGAATACAACTTCAGAAAGTCTAGATGATTCTGGTGTAAAAAGATCATTGGTTTTAGCTTTAGTTAAAGATGTTTCAGAACATAATGGAAATCTTAGCAAACTATTGAAACCACTGGCGCTGAATATATATATATAATATTCAATAGCATTTGATCTAAAATGTGGTAACTCTTTATTTGGTTTAAGCAGCCACAGTGGTAAATATGCTTGTCTCTGGTGTGAAGGAGAAAGTTCTCTTGAGAGTGGAGGAAAAAGAACTTTAGGTTCAATTGATATTAATTACAATAAGTTTGTTGCAGATGGATGCAAAAATAACCCCATGAAGGAATTTAAAAACTGTACTTCTCCTCGAATTGTATATCTCGATGAACCTTGAGAAACTTTATTGGAACATCTTATCCTTCCTCCAGAGTTACACATTTTCATTGGTATTACTTTATGTTTGTAAAAGTATTAATTACTTTGTGGCCTGATTTTGACACATGGCTTAAATCAAACTATATTATGTTTAGAGGTTACCATGGAGTAGGTTTGGACGGCAACAATTCACAGAGACTTATAGATAAATTAGTTGATCTAGAAGTTAATCTTCCAAGTGCAGCCTCTATGCAGCCAAATATATTTCTACAACCTGTAGTTAATTGTCTTAAAAAGTTTTCAGTTATTAAAAAAAAAGGTTTCAGCTCAGTAATTGGAGAATCTATTGCTAAATCAGTTTTAGATTTTAAAAACGTTTTTGAAAAACTGCAGCTTCATCTTCTGGAAAAGTTTAACTATGAATTAAATATTAGCTGAAAAGTTTATATTTTAGTGTGTCATCTTGTTCCTTTTCTTCATCATAGTCAGTTTGGGCTTGGTGTATATGCTGAGCAGGCTAGAGAAAGTGCTCATCACTACCACTATCAATTATGGAAGCGATACAAGTGTCGTTTGGAACACAATGATTATGCAAAACAACTCAAGAAAAGTGTAATTGAGTTTGGTATAAACAATTTAAAGTAGCCATTTTCTCATTTAAAATTTTTTTTTAAGTAGGTGTTGCTATTATTGTTAAATTATCAATAATAATCAAATAATTGCTATTGTTTAAAAAGTATTCTTATTAGGAATTTGCTTTCCAGTTGTTAATCTTTTTGTTACATTTATTGCATTAAACTTTGTAATCGATAATTTATCTGTCCATAGCTTGATTAAAAAGCGATTAAAAATTGTTTTAAAACTGTATTACCCTATCCATTTTTTTTAAATGTCATTTTTATAAGATAAATTTTTAAATTTTAGAACTTTTTTTAAAAAAAAGATGCTTTAACAGAGGAACTTTGGTCTGGAGGAAATATACTAATATCTAATACCTACCACCCCCTCCCCACTAATTAAAGTATAAGTTATAACTGTTTTTGTAAAAAAAAGTATGTATAAAAGTTAGTTTAGATTTTTAAAATTATTTTAAAACAATTTACCAACCCCAATAATAATAATTAAACAAAAAAAAAATTAGAGTAAACCAAAATTTACCCTGGCGGTCTCAGAAGAGCACAGTGTGCCTATACTTTCAAAACTATTTAACAAGTGCTTATCAGAGTCTACCGTACAAATCATAGTATAAAAGTTGTCCTTGATGGACAGCACTCTTCTTCATATCCTGTAACTTCAGGGGTTCCTCAAGGATCTATCCATGACCTTATACTCTTTTAAATTTACATTAACAATCTATCGGATATTTTCAGATTTAAGGTGGCATTGTTAACTGATGATACTACCATTTATTCTTGTCTTGATAAAAAGCCAACAATCTCTGATTGCTTAGAGAAGGCATTTGAGCTTGAAAAGGTCACTTACATCTCTTTATTGTGCTCCACACTTTCTCTAGATTCTATTCTTTATCTCTATAAATCTAGGAGATAACAAGTAATATTATTGAAAAAAAGCATTTTGAAAGTAGTAGGCAGCCATGGTTAATATTTGTCCGGCGGTTGGGGCTGGGTTTGATAAACCATAACCAGGACTTAAATGTTGATAACTGCTTAAATGTTGACAAACCCAAAAAATGAAATAAATATTTCATTTTTTGGATTTTTTGATAAGCAATTTATTTACGATTTAATCTGCCTGTACAATTAAGAGACTAATTTGCTATATATGCTAGAGCCATGAGAAATTTTGTTAATTTTTTTTCTTAAGTCTAATCATTTTCACGTCTTTTTGCTTTTAAAAATGTTTTTACTTTTTAAAATATTTTTTTTTTAAACATTTGACATTTAATCTCAATACTTCTATAATAGGAAAATAAGAAAATAAATTTATTTGTTTGCTATTATTTGTAAAAAATATTATTTGAATAATAAATATTGTAATAAAGGAAAAAATCAAATAAAAGAACTTTGTTTATTTTATAAACGTATTTACCACATTTGATGCCTGTCTGAAATTGTTTCCTTTATATAGCCCTATTTTCAACATTAATACAGAATACTAGATATAATGAACATAACAATTGCTCTGTTTAAAAAAGTGTTTTAAAGTTTGAAAATTTAAAACTTTAAAAAAAATGCTTTAAATAGGCTTTTAAGAATTTCGTTAAAAAAGCTCAGTAAATTACAAAGCACTAGCCCACAAGCTTTTGGAGCATCGTCAATAACAATAGTTCATCAGCAAATAAACTATCGGGTTTAAATGCACAATTTGGAGAATCTAACAAAAGTGCAGACTATTTCAATAAGGGTAGCGAAAACAACCAACTATTTTATATTTTAATATTAGTACTAATGACTTTATTTTTTATATAAAAAACTTGTTAAAAAATAAACAAAAATTTTACAAATAAATAGCAATTAGTTTTTTTGCTTTCCTGTGCATTGATTAAAACGAATTTCAAAACTGTCCATATTTCTAGTGCAAATAAAAAAGTGTTTCCTTAATATACTGAATGAAGTCACAAATAACTTGTATATTTTTTAAAATGTTTTTATTTTTTATATATTCTTATCTGCTTTTTTTTTTTTTAATTTGTTATCAAATTTGGCAGCAGATAATAACAAACAACAAAAAAATAACAAAAACAGTAAAATATTTAGGTATCTTTTTTGACAAAGTTTTACTTTTTTTAATTTTTTTTATTTAGATTTTCAATTTCATATAGTATTTGATTCCTTTCTTCAAGTATTTCTGTTTTATTTTTTGTAGTTTCTTATAGCCTTTTTTTTTTGCCGCAAATTCTTAAAATGCTTACTCTATAAAAACGTGGTCAAGTTGTCTGAAAAATTACTTTAAACGTGAACAAACAAGGCTTGCGACCTTGCGAGAAACACATACATGTATATATATGAATACATGTATGTGTGTGCATATGTATATATATATATATATATATATATATATATATATATATATATATATATATATATTATTATTATTATTATTATTATTATTATTATTATTATTATTATTATTATTATTATTATTATTATTATTATTATTATTATTATTATTATTATCATTTATAAGCATCTTCACTCAAAAGAAAAATGTTTTACTAAATATATTGATAAATGATTTTTAACTTTAGATTGTTCCAGTAACAAAATTGAAATAAAAATTAAAGTATTCATAAAGGGTGGGAAAAACCCAATATGAATAAAATTTTATACCGTTTTTAACAAATACATTTTAACTGAGATGACTTTATAATAATAATAATATTAATAATAATAATAATAATAATAATACTAATAATAATAATATAACAATTTTTCATTTTGAATTTGTTTTGTCGTAAATACGGACCTTCATTTGATGTGTTTTGATAATTGTTTGTAACCCAATTTATTTTATCATGGCCATGTTAAATTTTAAAATGTTGAATAAGATCTCCACGTAGTCTACGTTCTTCTTGAGTCATTAACTGCATATCTAATATTTAATCTAGCTTCCTAAGGTAATTTTTTAATTGTAGAAGCTAGTTTGGTTGCTCTTTTTTGGATCATCTCAACTTTATCTATGTCTTGTTGTAGGAATGGAAACCATGCTTGGACAGCAAACTTAAGATATGGACATATAAACGTTGAATAGAGCTTTTTTACAATGTTTACATCTAAATATTTAAATGTTCTCTTTATGATACCTAACATTCTTTATATACCTAACTTTATATAGTCAAAACATGTCTTGAATTTTAATAATAAAATGTTTTTAAATAAAATTTTAAAAATTGTGTTATATCTTAAAGTATTTTTACATTTTGTGCTGAGAAGTTTTGGAAATATGTATATGTATATATATATGTATATGTATATATATATATATATATATATATATATATATATATATATATATATATATATATATATATATATATATTTTATATATATATATATATATATATATATATATATATATATATATATATATATATATATATATATATATATGTATATATATTTATGTATATAAATAATAAAATATCATGCCCTGGTTAAAACTCCTTCAAGAATTGTTTGTCGGGTACGGGGTTGTAAAAAGCCTATATTTGGCCAGGGCTGAGGCTGGGACCCCGGTCACTTCCTATTTGAAAATCAAAGCTAAGGGATTGTAACAAAAGTAGAATTTGGAATCAGTAGAGACGATTCTCAGAAACAATAAGCTGGCTCAAATAATCAACCAAATCTTTTTCTAATTAAAGTGTAAGCAAAGAGTGTTAAAAGGATGAAAAAAAAATTTTTTTAGGTTTTACATTGCAACGAGAAAACTTATCCTGTCATGAATCAATGCAAAAGACAAAAAATATTTGCATTAGGCAGTAAAAAATTGGGTAAAAGTGATTTGAAGCAAAAAGTCAAAAAAATTTCTGGTCATAAACTTCCAAGAACGAACGTATATTAAAAGATTTGCAACTGAGATATATTGCAAACACTACTTACAAGTGAGACAACAAAGTGGTGGAGACTCAACAAATACATAAGGTTGATTTTACCACACAAACCATGGTTCATGTGAGCTTTATAATTTTTAAATCAACTATTATACCTTCAAAAACATATTAGAATCACACTTGATTCAATTGATAAAATAACTGCATGGCAGAAGCTTGCAATACATCTTCCTACACCATAAGGCTTCAGTGAACACAGGGTAAAATATTAGTTTAACACAAATAAAATAAACATTTTTCTCTTTGGTAAATTGCCTTCACCGATGTTAAAAGCTTTATTGGCCTTATTTAATGATTCTAAATATTTTATCCCAATGAATACTACCTGTTATTTTCACAATAAATACATATTTTTTCTGGCCTGTGGTAACAAAATCTAGTTTGTGTTAAACCTAGTTTTTCAATAATCTTTAGACAAAGCATTTAAAATACAACACTTGGAAACTAATAATGAAAATAGTGCTAAATAAATGATGCAACACATTATGTCATATTGTTATAATAATTGTTATTTTAAAAATATACAGAATAATAACTGTTTTAATTTCTGTAAAGCGCGATAATTAAACGTAGATTTAGCTATCCTTAAAAAAAGCTGACAGTTTAATGCACAACTATAAATAAATAAGAGATCACCTTCTTGTTTCCCAGCATACATTCAAAATAGTCTTCTCTCTTTTCGTGGCACTTGTAAAGTACTTTATCTACACCTTCTTTTTTAACGCATTGCATTAAATCTTCAAAAAAACTATAGCAATGGTGACGACCACCACTGTGAGCTATAAAACTATCACCCATTTACAACCAAATAGTATTCCTACGTTTTTTTTGCTATAACAATTATAACTACTCAACTAGTTAACCGGATTCTGTACTTCTGTGCTTAAGTAATAATTAACTACGCTAAAAACGATGATATTCGGTTTTGAATTTTATTTCAACTTTCCGTTCATATCCGTTCTTAGCGACGATAAAACACGTTTTATTTTTAAACGTGTTAAAAATTATAACTAAATTATAACACACTTTTAAAATAAAGTGTGTGTATTTAAAATACATTTAAAATAAAAGCATGTTTTGTTGTCAGTATGAATTTTTTTTTTCTACAGGTATACCTTATAAAGATAAATTTATTATCGTGAAAATTATTTCACGATAATAAATTTATTATCGTGAAATAATTTTCACGATAATAAAGTATTATCGTGAGATTGATAAAAATAAAATTCACGAAGTTGATAAAAATACATTAATATAATATTAATACAAACTTTAATATAAATTTTGGTATAATAACTAATATATATATATTTATTTTTCCAAACTCTAATATTATAGATGTTTTTTTGGAGTTTTATACCCAAAAATACTAAACCTTCTTTAATTTCGTTATTTATAGGTATCATAATACCTATAAAAATGAAATCGAAAGAAGATTCAGCATTTTTGGGTATAAAACTCCAAAAAAAAATCTTTTCGCAGATTCCCTAAACAGCGCCATTTGGCATATATCTACAGTATCGGACAAAACAAGTGCAACGAAATAATGTTAATTTAGTTTCTTTATATAAAAGTGTTGCATTTTTTCAATTTAGAGAAATAACTATGTAACTATTTAGAGACAACGTTCTTCAAGTTTTATTCATCACAAAGTTCATTATTTGTACACGAAAATTAATAAATTAATCAAAAGTATTAAAAAAAAGTTGATTTCCTTCTTAACAAAACAAGTGCAACTCCACAAAATGTTGACCAAGCTGTATTTCGCTATCAATATTTCGTGGTGAATCCTTTGTTGTTGATCACAGCCTTGCATCTTCGAGGCATAGATTCGATCAGGTGATCAATGAAATTTTGTGGAACTGCTGCCCAGGCCTTTTGGAATTGTTCAAACAGTTGATCCTTATTACGAACACCTTCACGATTAATTCTGCGGTTGACGATCTCCCACAGGTTCTCGATAGGGTTGAGATCCGGAGATTTAGGCGGCCAATCCATCACCGATAGATGATTTTCTTAAAACCACTGCTTGACTACTTTTACAGTGTGTTTCGGATCGTTGTCTTGCTGAAAAACCCATTTTATTGGCATATTCCATTCAGCATGAGGTAACATAACATCTTTCAGGATATTTTTATACATGAAACGGTCCATTATTCCATCGATTCAATGTATTTGACCTAGACCGTTAGCAGAAAAACACCCTCAGATCATTACATTGCCTCCACCATGCTTCACGGTCATAATGCAGTAAAGCAAATCGAGGCGTTTTCCGGCCGGTTGATGTACACGGCAAATGCCATTGCTCTCAATGATGTTGAACTTCAATTTATTACTGAACAGGAAAGTTCGCCATTTCTGCACATTCCAGTAAATATGAGATGTAGCAAACAGGAGTCTTTTTTTCTGGTTCTTTAGTAAAATCAGCGGTTTCTTTGCAGGGCGTTGAGAAAACAATCCGGCTTTAACAGCACGTCGTCTGATTGTTCGGTCCGATAGAGGTAGCTCTAATTGCTTTTGTATCTCAACTGATGATATCCAGGGATCCTTCTTGACGGATCTAACAATCATAGAATCTTCTCTAGAAGTGGTGGAACGGGGTCTTCCACCTTTGTTATCTGCTGCCAACTTCCCGTAGAACGATATTTGGAACATAGTCTTGATACGGTCCATTTTTTGACGCGATATTTATCACAAATACTTTTTTGCGACATTCCATTTACGTTATCGCCAATAGTTTTTTTTCTTAGTTCCAATCTAAGACTTTCGGGAGCCATTTTGGCACTTGAAGTCATAAAAATAATAAAAATAATCACGTTTCTCAAGACTTATCGTGTTACATTTACCTTGTGATGATACAATAATGCTCTGTGGAACACAACGTCTTGTTTTAATGTGGACAGTATTGATGTAATAAAACACTTGTTGTATTTCATTTCTTGTATTAATGTTCTTCGATAAAACACTTTGATAAAACTCACTTCGATAAACTGTCTTGATAATACTGACTGATTGATTTCCATATACTGGCTGAATTACATGTCGGTTTACATGTCTCTTATATAGTAAATTGAACCTGTGTGAACCTACTCTAAAAGATTCTAGATGCTTTTTTTCGATGCTTCTGGAAGCTTCTGGATGCGTCTGGATGCTTCCAGAGCTTCTTCTGGAAACTTCTGGAAGTTTCTGCATGCTTCTGGAAACTTCTGGATACTGCCTTTAATTATTAAAAAACCTCCGTGATGTTGACACAGACCACACTTAAGAAAATGGAACAAACCAAAAAAGCCGCACTTGTTTTGTCCGCTGCAAAATGGCACTTGTCAACAAAATTCTGCTTGTGTGCTCTCACCTGTCAGCTGATTGCTCATGTCATGGCATGCTATGACTCCAGGCTCCTGCACTGTTTGCTGTGATAGTATAGTTCGTTTCGTTTTTAAGACAATCAAAATTAGAAACGCTTTTTAGCATTGTTCGATGTTGGTTGTAAATGTTTTGTCCAATACTGTATGTATATTAAGGTGTCTCAAAAATATATCATAAATCGAATTTTAATGTGCGGAATACTACATTTGGTATAATTTTATCCATAAAGAAAAACAAAACAAAATTAAGTTTTTAGCTTAATGGGACGATTTCGGTGAATTTACTTTTATATAATAATTTATAATAAATAAATTTTGATTTAAAATTGATTTTTATCCGAGTCAATTTTTATTTATGTTTTGACAAAAACATGGCTAACAATAAAAATAAATGATGCGTGTTTTATAAACATTAAAACTTATGAGGCGTAAATTTAACTTATGTCAATATATAATTAAAGTAGAAATCAAGTTTTAAAGTTGTTTTTAACCAAGAAATTCATCTAAAACACAGGTTTGAACTTGTATATAAAGCTTATTTACCAGTTTCACTGTTTTTTCATTATTAGTTATATACTATAATTCTGATTCAATCAACTAAATGCGTCTGATGAGGATTTTTTAAATGAAATAAATTGATTTTAGAAAATGTCTCTAGACATAAATTGTAAAGCTGAGAAACAGATATTGATGAACTGAGAACAGATACTAATGATGCGTCAAAAGTTACAAGGAAGAGGAGAAAATTTTATTTGCTAGGGTTCCTTTTGCAGAGTTTTGCCCCTAACATACTTCGAACAAATGGAGAAATACTCAGAAGGTATTACTGGCTTAATGTCGATTAAGAAGGAAGACATAAAATTCTTGAGGCTTTGTCTGATAGGGGATATGTCGTATACGGAAACATGGAAAATAAATTTTGTGAAAATGCTCACAGGGCACAAGAAAAAATAACGATTTGAGAAAATCCAAAGACATAAAGATGAAAATAGAAAAAAGAGAGTAACTATTCGGACGGTGACTTTTCAAGCACAGATAGTGACAATCAAACTGAATGCGACAAACTATATTTATCTCCAGCTAAATTCCAGAAAAAACACAAAAGGTTTCAGAGTGACATTAAAGTTTGCCTTCAGTTAAGTATGGAGGATGTTCTTAAGAATTGGATTCCAATTATGACCAAATTTGGGATTGGAGTTAGGCCGGGTATGTGTCTTTTGTCTTCTCTTTACAAAGAGTGGAGTTAAGATTATTATATGTCGATATCAAGATCAACTCTAAACAGGAAAACTCATAACGTTGTGGAGTCTGAGACACAGATATAAAGAGAGAAAGCATAGATAAAATAAGAGGTTTAAAAATTTTGGTATATTTCGATACCAAGATTTTGAAGAAACAAGATTGGGAAAAAAGAATATCTAAATATGAGTATAGAATTGCCATTAGCGCATCTTCACCAGAGTCTGATCCACTAAACTTTCTTCTTGGCATCTTAAAAATTGAAAGGTCCAAGGGAAGTGATTAAGCTATTGCAATTCAAACTATGCTTGAATACTATGAAATGTCGGATCAGAACATCCAGTAACACTGGTAAAAATAAAGGTGCCGTAGGATTATTATTTCCTATGCCCTTAAAAGACCAGTTCTTTGGTTAATGTGTAGACATCCCATTTATGAAAGGCACGTGGCTTATGTGATGAAAGAAATTTTTGGTCCAAAAAATGGTCTGAGCAAGAGACTAATGTAATTCTCCTAAAACTATGGCCGCAGATTTACGAAGATGTAAACAAACTTGAGAGAAATGTAAAGTTTGACTGGTCTCAAGATGCTTTCAGGCCCGGCTCATTACTGTTCAAACTTGCCTTGGATACTAAAGAGTTTTTTTATCACTGCTCTTCATTAGAATACTTTCCAGAGATGTGATTACAAGTATCTTTGTGAGCTTCTGGCATTTTTTCTAGGAGCTGAATTATCGAATTTTTTATTTAAACAACGCGTAGCTCATCATGAAGCAAGATTTATGGCTGACTGTATACTCTTCTGGTTATTCAGATGACTCAAATGTACCACCCTGCTGATTCTAAAACAGTTAGAAAAAATACAGTATTGCAGTTTCTTATTTTTTTATCAAATCAATACCAAACTTTGCCCGAAAGTAATTTAACTATTTTCGCTTAATATTACAATATTTTTATGAAATTGAGTGAATTAATTTTTGCTGTAAAATCATTTATCAAAGACCGTTTCCGTGTGTCAACCAACCCCATCCACGGAGTTGGTTATCATATACAATGGGCCTGGTTGTCACATTTCTTGGTACGTTTTGATTAATTTTAAAACTAGTACCAATAAATTTTATTTATATAACACAAAGAATAAATCTAAATAATCAGAAAAAAAAAGGCTATATACTGAAAAAAAAATACTGTATACCGAAAAACGTTTTTTTTTTTAATATAACACTATAAATACATTTAGTTTAGGACTATTCAAGTGTTTTTATAAATTGTTGGATTAAGAAAACAATTCACATATAAATTGGTGTAAGCCTGGTGTGTATTCTTCATGAGGTTATTTTTGGTAAGTCCACTGTTCTCTTGATCTGCTGTTAGCAAATGGTTCACAACAATAGATACATAGATAGTCTTCATCTTTAGTAGAATTTAAGACTGTAGAAGTTTTTTTTGGGCAAAATTTGACTTAATCAAATCTTTTTAACTTTCATTAATAAATGATTTACAATTCTTATTAATATTTCTTTTTTTAGTTTTTTTTTTTATAATTAGCTAGCCATGCTTTGACAGGTGAGTAAGTAAGAATCATAGATAAACGCTTTTTCCTACCTCTTTTTGGCGCTCACCTTGGACCTGCTTTAGGCTGAGGCCTTATACTCTCAGGTAGTATAATTTAATTTTTTAAAACTAAACTTTTAAAAATTGAGGCAATTGTGACAACCATCCCTACATATTGTGTCAAGCAATCCCTTCTATTTAAGTTAGAAGACACCTGTAAAGTTACATAAAAGCGTGTGAATTTCATGAGAATTTTTTTGTGGATTAAGTTACTCAAATGAATTAAAAAACTTTAAAAATGTACATTCAAAGCACAATAAAATAATTTTCGTTTAATAAAAGAAAATTTCTAAGTGAGCGAAATTTAACTTTTTCATATCGAAAACCTATAAAAACGAATAACTTTTTTTCTACACGCTAAACAAAACTGAAAATTACAGTGAAAAATAGCTTGATTAATTTTGTTTTGTATAAATTAACCCACACTACTGTATTAGCATTGTGAGATGACTATGAATGAGACCAAAATAAAGTGTTTTTTTATTGAACAGAAATCAAAAAATGGGCGAGATTTATATAAAATACCCATTGCAGATATTATTTTTGATTCAATGTGCCCAATATGATTTCTCTATAATAAATTTTCATCTGTTTGAAGACCAAGAAACTTTGCATATTTTTCCCGTTTTATTATTACGTTGTTAAAGAGCAACTCTGAAATTTTTAAAGATATAGATATTGGTTGATCTCTAAAGTTTTATCATAAACTTTAGAGAACACTGGTTGTGTTCTCTAAAGTTTTATCAAACTTTAGAGAGCACTGGTTGTGTTCTCTAAAGTTTTATGAAAATTGGACGGTAGTTACACATATTATTAAAATCTTTATTTTAATAAACAGGATTGACTTTGACAATTTTTTGCATATCAGGAAAAGTACTGTGTTCAAAACAAGATGATATTAAATGAAATAAGGAATGTGAAATATATACAGTTTTTGCAATGTGGGCAAACACAGAAATTGAAATGTTCAATCCGGCTCGTCACATATTTTATAATTATGAAAAGAAAATTGCACTCAAAATGTAATAGTTCAAGTTTTTAATAAACGTTAAAAATTGGAAAGTAATTGCTAATTTTTACTTATATATGAAATGCATCTGGTCTTTCGAATTCGGGCAAATTAAATCACTATGTCTTATTTACAATGAAACCATAGCCTTTTATAAAGACTATAACATCTCTCTTCATTTTTAAACATAATGGTACTTTTTACGTATTTATGACCAATAAAAAAACATACGCCCGATAACAATTTTTTTTATCTATGACCGATTATAAAGTAAAATAAAAAGCCGAAGATCTCCAATAAGGAAATTAATAGTTCAGAAATCTATTTTTACAAACGTATAGTATTTTCAGAAAGCTCCTACACATGCAAGTTATAGTGTAGCGAACAACATTGAAAGAAGAGTTAAAACATTTTCTGATGAAGAACTTTTTATAGAATGTTTGTTTTAGGTTTGCGAAGCTGTCCTAAGAAAAATAAGATTTTGAAACTGTTTATCCTAAACAACTGTACCATTATTTTGAAAAGTTTATCCTAAACAACTGTACCATCCAAAGTCTAGATAATAAATTTTTACATTACATATTAGTAATTTTAAGTTCTGCTCCATTTAAATGGTCACAAGTACTGATGTCAAATGCACATTTAATATTATTTATGAAGCATGCGTAAAAATTCAAATATGGTTTTTTTTTTAACTTACAACTAAAAGTGCCCGAGGTCAATAACGCTTATATTTTTATAAAAAAGAGAGAAAAATATTTGGAACCTTTTTTTATATTTATGTGTCTTAGTGCATAGCCAAGTAAAAATTTGCAACATTCTAGCATCTCATAGTAGTTAAGGTGTTTTTCAAGATATCGGCTTAAACAAACAATCTGGTCAGCAAGATAAACGATAAAGTTGTTTAAAAAAAAAACATCAAATATCTTACTATTGACTGCAAGCAATCTTTTAAAATTTATTCAAAATGTAATATGTCTATCAAGATTTTATATTGCATAGTTTAATATAATATTATGGCGGTATATTACGGAATCCTAACTTTAACCTTAATTTCCAGACCGTTGAAATCTCAAGTTCTTGAATGGTATTTTTAAGTGAAAACTTTGCTGGGAGCTAGAATTCTTTTAACAATTGCAAAATCATTTAGACAATAGAATATTCTTTACGGAAATAGAAGAAAAAAAGCTATTACTACCAACATTTAATTTTTTTTATAAAATTGTAAACTTTGTTGACCTTAAAAAACAACGGATTTACAAAGAATGATTTCTTAGTCCATAGGAATGCTAGTTGGATATCCTCGAGTAAAAAATGTGAATTTAAAATTATCACTCTTGGGGTTTTGCTAATTACTCACCCAATGTGCAGCGCCTGAAATTTTAAAAGTGCAAAGTTTAAAAAGGTCTGGGCAATCTACGGATAACTCAAGCGCATCCTTTATTACACAAAAAGCAACTAGCAAATAAAACATTACAAAAATTAAAAGTTTTCAAATTGTTTTAATTTATACTAAATGCATTAACTTGGACAACGTAGTTAATCGGGTAGTAGGGCTTGGATAAAAGAATTAGTGGATTAGAAGGTCTCCTTAGGGTTCAGCATATTAGTGGGGAGGGGGGGAGGTTAAGTAGTTTTTACACAAAAAATTTAGCCAAAGGAGAAATAAATCCTAGATCCACTCTTGAGAACAGTATGTGGAGTCATAGCATTTTGGATTATTTGCTATCAGCTAAATTCCTAAATTATTATAAAAAAATGTAATTTTCGCAAGTCTAGAAAAACGTGTTTTCTTTTTTTGGCCCAAAAAATTGTGAGGCTAAGGCACAAGGACCGCGGGAGGATACTCTGATCTCTTTACAAAGTCCCGCATATATAAATAATTATAAACAACAAAAAGTTATTTTTGACATTGTTTCATCAGTATGAAAATTACATCATTGTTATTATCGTTAACAAAACTATGAAAAATTAACATTGCTATCGAAAATTATAAATAAAAATAAGTTACTCTTACAAAAAAAAAATTTTTCTTTTTTTTTTACAAAACTCTCAGTTTACAAATTTACAAAATGACTTAAAACACTTAGACACTTCTTTTGTTCGGTAATTTTCGAACTGCATTCACTAAATAAGAAAAATGTGTTACTTTAAACAACAATATAAACAATTCAGCGATACTTTTTTAAGAAAAATGTAACAATATTGGTTTTAACATTAAAATCCAAAATTTATTATCTTACTAAGAGCTTCGTGTGCTTCATCTACAGCTTTATTGGCAACTAAAAAAAAGATTTTAAAAAAGTATAGAAATAAAAAAGAAACAATGGACAATGAATAAAAATTTCCCATACTTTTTTAAAAGTAAATATACTGAATTATTATAGTAAATGGAAGCTTAAATTTTTAAATCAATCAATCATATATATTCTGAAAATAAATTTTCAAGACTATTTACAAATAGTATTGAAATACTAATCTCAAGTAAATACCTAAAAAAAAAATAATTTATATATATACAATTAATCTTAGTAATAATAATATTAATAATAGTAATAATAATAATAATAATAATAACAATAATAATAAAGTAACTATAATAATTTAAATAAATCAGTATTACTTTCCATACAGCAATCATTTTTACATACAAAGTTACAGTTACAAACAGTAATAAACTGACAAAACGTAACAACTAACGATGACATAAAAACAACTATTGCTAAAAAAAATATAAAGATTTAGTAAATATATTAATATAATCATAGTTGTTAAAATATAATAATTAAAATATATTGCAAATACTATGACCAAATAAATAAATATAAACAGAAAATAAAATAATACAAACAGAAAAACACTGAGAAAATCAAAACAAGTTACAACAAACATTACGAAACAAAACAAAAAATTATGCAAAATAAACAAAGCAAATATCAACAAAAAAAAACTTAAAATAAAAAAAAAAAATAATACACGGTAGAATTAAACATATATAATAAATAGCTAAAATGAAAATAAAAACAAATAATATATAACTGTATAAAAAATTTATATACCACTAAAAATAAATAATAACTAAAAATAAACCAGACTAACAAAAAATAAGTAAAACTATATACGCTAAAAAATTGAAGAAAAATAAATAATAAAAATAAATAATCCTAAGAAATATATGAAAGAAAATTAAAAAAATGTATGAAAAAATAAAAATCTTGATTTGCCGATCGAGGTTTTCGATCGAGATCGAGGATCGAGGTTCATCTCTTTAAATAATTTTTTTTCATTCTTTGCCATTGTTTTTATATATTTCATTCATTAACGGGTTTTTTTTTAACTTCTATTTTCGTTACTTTTTTACTTATTTTCTTACAGATATTTCTTTTTCTTTTCTTCTTTTAAAAGGTTTATTTATTCTTCTTTTTTGTTGATTTCATTTTTTATTTAATTAATAAATGTTTTCTTTTCTTTTTTACTTTTAAAAAGTTATTTTTAACGGTTTGAAAAAAGGGTCCACCATTTGCGATGTCATTGCAAAGACCACTGAATAAATAAAGTGTATTAAATTTTGAATTTAGTGTATTAATTAAAAAATTGTGAGCATACTTTCTAATTGCATTCAGCTGCATTAAATCATTATGCATTACAATAACGAATAATTATTTTTTAATGAATTATACTACTTATATTATCTAAAAACAGATCTGTTATTTATGTTCATTAACAGGACATCATTATTTTAGTGATAAATTTCCATTCAAAAAATATAAAAGTTTTAATATTAACTTTTTTGTTTGTTTGTTAGTTTGAATTAATCATAAATCTAAAAAAAATATTAAGAAAATTTATAAGATCTTTTAACTTCTACTTGATTAAACTAAAAAAATAAAATCTAATTTTTTATATTTCTATGAAAATCGCCGCGTAAAATAGCTCAAGATCTCTTACTTCTGTCTTATAAAATTTAGCATTGCGTAATTTAAAGACGATCCCTTATTATGCTAAAAAAATTGGCTGTATATAGTTATTCACTTTGATAATTTTTTAGCTATAATTTTTTTGGAATGATAAAATTTACAATGGTTATAATTCGTATAATATAAACATAAATGCTAAACTATCAAAATTTTTTATAAATAACAATTAACCAAACAAGTTGCCTTTGTAAAAAATATTTTTGGTATATTTTAAATGTTTACGTACATTCATTTTTTAATTATTTCACCGGATTGCTAATAATCAAGGTTTAAAAAAACGCAGCGGTGAGGCGTACGCTTTTTTAAACCTTGACTATTGTCAAGTTTTAAAAATTTTTGCAAAAAGCGTACGCCTCACCGCTACGTTTTTTTAAACCTTGCTAATAATATATACTTTTTCTATTTTCATTTACTTGAAATCGTAAAGTTTTATAGCTTCTATAAAAATTTCGAGAATTTTTGATGTATTTGATAGTTTTTAACAGCAAGTTGATACAGTTGACGGTTTTTAAAAACATTTTATTCATTATTTTTGACATTATGAAGAATACCCATTAGCCTCATGTCATAGAAAAAATAATATTGAAAGCTCAAAGCAGTATTTAAATAACAAGAAATAACTATTTCATCTGTTGGAGCAAAGAATCCAATATTACAACAGAAGCAATTTTTATTATAGCTTAGAATATTGTAAGAAGTAAACATCCTTACACCAATGAAGAACTTGTAAAACAAAATCTTTTAGATGTGATCTCAGTTTTAGATCGTAATCGTAGAAAAATTCAAAAAGTTTCAGATCTATTTTCTTGACAAACAACTTAAAGAAGAATATCTGAGATTAGTATCGAAGTTAAACAGCGTTTGTTAAATGACTTAAAAAATGTGAAGCATTCAGTTTAGCAATGGATGAACCAATAGATATTCAGTTTAGCATTGGATGAACCAATAGATATTCAGTTTAGTATTGGATGAACCAATAGATATCCAAGATAAACTTCAAATGGCAGTATTTTTAAATGTGTAACATCAAATGTACTTGTGAAAGAAAAATTACTATATTTGATAGAGCTGAAAAACACAACTCGTGGAATTAATTTAAAGGAAACCCATGACCCTGTTCTGGTGAAAGCCAATGCCCCTAAGTACAAGCTTGTTAGTGTTGCCACCAGCAAAAGTTGGAAAACATGTTGGGTTTATTAGTTTACTAAAAAGTGATCCTACGTATCCCAGTACATTGTGCGATTTATTAAGAACATTTAGCAGCAAAATATTTTAATTTTCCAATTGTTTTTAAACCAGTACAGGAGATTGTGAGAAATTATATTTGATTAAATGCAAAAAATGACAGACATTTTCAACATTTCATTATTAAAATGGATCTTAATGACAAACCAAGTGACTTGTCGTTTTACTGTGCTAAAAGGTGGCTTTCAAGTAGTGACGTTAACTTATAAGTTTGTAGAGCTATTAAAACTATTTAAACCTTTTTTGCTTGCAAAGCAAAAGACATTTGAAATCTTTGATGATATGAATTTTTTGCAAGATCTTTTACTTTTAATTAATGCAATGCAATATTTACAAAATCTGAATTTGTAACTTCAAGAAAAAGAAAAAAATCTGATCTTGCTCAGGCTATATTTAATTTTCAAAAAAAAAAAATTCAGAGAAATTTTTGATGAAAATGATTAAACACTTTTAATCATTTTCCTCAAATAAAGAAGATGATTCATAATCCTAATCATATGATTCAGTATGATTATCATAAGATTAAATCATCCCAGGAAAAAATACATCATTATTAGAATTTATAGTAAATCCTTTTTTAATTGATATCATTAGTAATGGTTGTCCGATTCCAGGAAATATACTTGAAGAAACATCTCAATTCAAAATGGAACTATTAGATCTTCAAGAAGATGAAAATCTTCATAGGCCTCATAAAACACAAACTTTATTTAATTTTTGAAAAATAGTCCCTGAAGTTAAGTATTGTCAACTAAAATAGTTTAGTATAAAACTCATTTCAATTTTTGGTTCAGCATGTGCACGTGAACCTTTATTTTCGACTATGAAATTTGTTAAATCAAAGTATCATGCCAATCTAACTAGTGAATATTTGTTAGAGTAGATTAGATATCAACTACAAGCTTGAAACCAGATTTTAAAAACTTATCAGTAAGGCTCAGAATCTTAGTGCTTAAAAATTTATTAGTAAATTTCCAAGAAATTATGCAAGAAGAATTTTTAAATTTTTACAAAACAATCGATTTGATTGGTCTTTTACAAAACAATTGATATGATTGGTCTTTTACAAAACAATTTTATAAAAATTCTTTCGGTTATGTCTTTTAATTTTTGCTGAAAAAATTTTTTTTGATTATAAAAATTATTTTTTGATTGTAAAAATTATTTTTTGATTGTAAAAATTACTTTTTGATTGTAAAAATAAGCTAACTAAGTAATTTTTTTTTACTTTAATTTGAACTTAATTGAAATTTGTTGAAAATATTTGTGTTATTTTTTGTAATGATTTTTTTATTTATTTGGTATTTTGTAGTTATTAAGTAACTAATGCTAACTATACTATTAATAACTAATAGTAACTAATAGTAACTAAATGCTGTATTATTAATGCTGTTAGTAACTAAATACTATTACTGTTATTAACTTAGTGGTTAGTAAGCAAGTTCAATTCAAATAAAAGCAAGTTTAAATTCAAATCAATAAATTTTTTTTTTTAAAAGAAATCTTTTTATCCTATATTTTATTTTTTAATCTCAAACATAAAAATTACTTAAACCTTTAGGCAAAATATAAGTCCTAAGCAGCAAATGGAGCTTTGACAGTGCATCTGGGCAAAGCATGTACAAACTGTGATATTGTTTAGAGGAGCTCTGCACATTTTTGCAATAAAATTTGTTCCATTTGATTTTATTTTTGAGAAGGTATTGAGAACATGATTTGACCCATCCAGTTCAATTTAGAAAAATCAAAAACCTTCATCATTCTTGTTTTTGTATGTCAATTAGATTGCAATTCGAAAAAGGAAGAACTTGTAGCAGAAGAAAGAGAGAAAGAAATAACCAAAGAATAAAGAGCAATTTTTAGTGAAATAATATGGAAATTACAAAAAAGTGATGTTAATTTCCCTGATTATTATTGACTATTATTATTAGTATCAAAAAACAATTTTAAATAAATATTTGGACAAATGTTATCTTTATGTTTAAACTTTTTTTTTTTTTTTTGTCTTAACACTGAAATTTTAGTTAAATTATTTATTGCTGTAGATGTGATTAAAATAGAAAACTTGTTACTATGGAAATACATACAAATGGTAAATACATAGACATGATTCCAAGAATATTCAAAAACTTATTGTTAAAAACCACCAAATGTGTTCAACCTTTGAAACTGTTATAAAAACTATAAAACCTGACAATTTTAACTAATTTTTTGTATCATTGGTTGCATAAAAATTAGAAAAAAAAAAAATACTTTTAACTCTTAAATAAAATATTAAGATAAATTCAACTTAATAAAGATTTAAATTAAATTAAAGATTGAGTTGAATAAGCCTGAGAATGTCTTTTGAACAACCAGTAAATTTAAAATTACAAAAAGTTATTTTAAATTCAATGCTTAGTATTTCCTATGCTAGTTTTCAAAAGTTTTTTTTCACTTTAAGTAAAACATTTTTTAAGTAGAATACATTTTATACATTCTTACAAAAACTTTTTCTTAGTTCTATAAATAATTCGAAAAAAAGTTAAAATGAATTTTAGAATAAACCTATATAAAAGTTGTAGCACTAAACTAAAGAATTAAAGATACAAAAACAAACAATAAAAAGTTTAATGCTATATATATACTATATAATGGTTTTTCAATCAAAATATATTTGAGGGCTCCAAAATTGAATTTAGTATAGGGCCCATGAGGATGTAAAATCTGGCCCTGATGCTAACTTGAAATAAGAAAAAAATGATGTATTGATGTTTAACTTAACCATAATAAAATTTGAGAATTAAATTATAAAAAACATATTTGAAAAATCAAGATCTAACTTCAATGAAGTTTTTACTTTGTATTTATCATAATTTTGGTACGCTTTTAGTTTTTTTATAACTTTTCCCTAGAACATGCCAAATAGATATCCTTAAAATATTTTTACAATATGATTAATTATTTAAATTTTACAAAATATGTAAATTTCTATTTATTGTTATTACCGAAGCTACATGAAAACAATACCTTCAATAAACTCTCCCTGTCGGTCTCTCTTACTAGGTGCTTCAATAATTGACTTTACTTGTGCATTCTCTGTTGAATGATGTAAAAATAGTTTATAGTTTTAAATAAAAACAAGCAAACAAAAAAAATCACAAAAACTTCAAATAATAAAATTACCAGTGTTAGTTTCTCCAGATCCGCTTTCAGCATCTTCATTTGATTCTTCTTTATTCAAAATAAAATTTACATCATGTTTTTTAACTGCATTATTTTCATCTATAATTTTATAATTAAAAAATTTTTTAAAAAGATTTTTGAACAAATTATATATTATATATTTTACAGATTTTACAATTTGATAAATGAATAATATAAATGAATAATATACTACAAAAATGACCAAGAAAATGACCATGGGAATGACAATAGAAATAAATACATACTTAACCCTCAAAATTAGGAAAAATGAGGTCGACAATAATTTGCCAACCTCAATCTTTTTTAGGTCGGCAAAAATTATTTGATACAAAGGTCTGACCATAAAACATAGAAACGAGGTTGGCGATTTTTTGGTGACCTTAAACACTTTGAGGTTGGCAATTAGGTCGGCTTTGCCAAATGACGACCCTAATTCTGAGGGTTGCATACTTAATACATACTTTAGGCTCAACGAGCTATTTATAACAGTTGCAATAAAAGCCTTTTTAATTTATTTGATAACATTTGAACAGTTTTAAAATAGGCTTTGTCAAAACATTGTCCAAAGTTAAAGAGAGCTTTTACAAGTTAACATAACTATGATTGTTTGAAGTTAAAATAACTATGATTGTTTGAGGACCAAAATTTAAAAGTTTATTTTGCTCCCAGACTCAAATCATCACAATTTACTGCAAAGCATCATTACTTGACATAAGCATGTTTTTTAAATGTTCAGAGTTTGCTTTATGTAGGAAGTTACCTCAAAAATCGAAAAACAGAGTAAAACTCTAGTTTGTGCATAACAGATTGTATAAACAATATCTTAAAAAACAACAAAAACATGTGTCTATACAGTTGACTCTCGATATCTCAAACTCTCAGGGAACCGGTAAAAAAGTACGAGATATCAAGAGTTCTAGATATTGAGAGGATTTTGGTTCAAACGAGTGCACAAGGAAAGAAAACGAGTGACTGGAAAGAAAGTTCGAGATACACAAAAGTTCGATACTACGAGTAGTCGAGATATCAAGTCAACTGTATTATTATTCCTTTTACTAATATACTCATATTTCTGATGTATTTAGATTTAAATGATGGAGCAATTTTTTTTGTTACTTTCTTTATATTATATTATACCATCGTCAAAGCAATTAAATTTCATATTTAGATTATAGCAAACATTGACAAACAATTAATGAAAATAAATAAAAATTAGAATTGCAAAACAAAAAATATTTATAACAAAAGCTGTTGCAAACAAATTAAAAACACTAAAAGCCGTTACAAATAAATTGACAAAATAACAAAAGCCGTTACAAATAAATTGACAACAGCATAAATAAAATGTTGCCCTCTGTCAGAAAACCATAAAAGTAGGTACGAATAGTAATTATTAAAAATACAATCTATGTATGGCATGATGATACAAACATCACATATTAACTATATAAATATAAATTGCTAAAATATAAATTGCACACTTACTTGTTGGCTGAGATTTTGCCTCATTAACAGGAGGAATGACATCAGGATATCCAATAGCTGCAAGGTTGTCTAAAGCTTTTTCCGCAGCTAAAATGAGGTTTCAAAAAACATAAAAATTATTATGATTATAATTCTAACTTTAACATTTACAAAAGTAAATTTTTAGTATCAAGCAAAAATATGCAATTAATACATCAAATAAAAATTTTTAACAAATATATTAATAGAACAAAATATATAAATAGATAATAATAAATTACTTGCCGTTGACAGCTTCACTTGCAGCTAAAATAAAACATATTTTATTATTGTATGTATGAATGTATATACACACACACAATATATATATATATATATGTATATATATATATATATATATATATATATATATATATATATATATATATATATATATATATATATATATATATACATATATATATATATATATATATATATATATATATATATATATATATATATATATATATATATATATTAGGGTGGTGCAAAAAAATTTTTTTTTTAATTTCTTTGATGGTACCATTTCTTTGTGACATTATGTGTAGGAATAACAATCGTGAAGTTTGGGCATGATTGAATAATTTTTAAAGGTTGCTCATCAACATCAAGTTTTTTACTTTTTGGGTTTGAGTTCTCTTTTAGTGTGCAATCCCAAATTTTGAATAAATTATGATACAACATTGCATTTTAACTCTTACTGTATATTAATCCAAAACCATGCAATATTTTTAAAACTGAATTATATATATTATTGTTTACAAATAAAATAATTGAAGAATAAAGTAATAAACTTCTGGTTTATAATAACGTATTTGTGTTCACTATAGTAAAGACAAATTTAAAAAACAATAATAGTTCCAAAAAATCTTAAAAACTGTTAGAGTTTTAGGTTTCATTTATATTTCAGCTTCTTTGCAAAAAATTATTGTAATCTATGAAAAAAAATTCATTGGTTTTTGTTTCCATCGTTTTTTGATGACTTGGTTCCATCGATCAACAAAGATTTCTGTGGCAGAGGAAACTTTGACCTGTGTTCAGAGACTACCTGCAACAAGAATTGCTTTTGTTCTTCATTTTTGGTAATTGAACAATTAAAATCCTGAATTAGTTTTACTCCTCTTTCAGCCGTATCATTAACAACTCGTAGACTTTTTACAATTTTTTCTGCCTGTTGAAACTCTTCATTTTCGGTCCACTTGTCAGGATCAACAGTTGTCAAAAAAGTAGTTGGTAATTCCAAAATGTTGAAAAAATTTAAGGTATTCTCTGTTACAAAACTTTCTATTTGCAGATTTTCAATTGAAGTTAAATCGATTTTTATTCTTTTTTGTGGTTCATCCTCTCCAGCATTTTGTAGAGCCAAAACCATTTTTGCTTTTGTTTCCTTGCTGATCTCCTTATCAAAAAAAGCCAATGCTACCATTTCTTCACTTAGATACCATAAATGCCTCAAAAATGCTGTTGCTGCAGCTGTAAAAATTCCATTGTTAATGGCTTTATGTTGAAAAACAGTCTTCAAGAAAGTGAGATCATTTGACGGAGCAAGTGTTGGATTGGTACATGATATCCAAAATTTGGTGTACACCAAACTAGCAAACAAGCTAATACCTCGAAGTGATTTTTCTTCTTTTGCCGTTAATTTGAACTGCCTTTTGAACATCCATATTTTCATTGAATATAAAATTTTGGCCATCCACCTTCCTCTGTGTATGGCTCCGGGAGCCATTACATAAGCCCCACGAGGAGGAACATCACCAAGAAACAACAAGGTTAGTTCCAACAATTCCTTGTAGTCATCTCGATATTGTTTACCAGATTCAAGAATTGTTTTCAAATAAAATAGTGCATCCTGTTTGAGTATGGTGTGAGAAGCCAAAATGTCCGAACATGTTTGATCATTTAACGCTGTTTCATAATTATTTTTGTCAATTAATGACCACTTGTCACGAAAACGTTTAAATAATCCTATTTCAGGACCACTGGATTGCCCAAGAGAATGCTTAAAAACATCACTCAAGACGATTTCATACATATGATGACGGCATGCCAAGTGTAATAGTTCTCTATTAAGCTTTTTTTCAATTAAAGTACACGCTCCAGCTTCGGTACCAGTGTTGGCAGCCGTTGCATCAAAACTAATTGCTTTAACTCGGTCTTGAATGTCCCAATCTAGTAAAGTTGTTATAACAGCTTCACTTATTGCTTTACCAGTACCCCTTGTTAACTTTGGAATGCCAAGAAGCTGGTCAACGTTGTAACCTGTAACAACAACTGCTAATCGATCAACTGAATCTCTTCCAGTAATATTTGGCAATATTTTGCCATCAAAATGAACAGTCAATGGAACATTTGACGAGTTGAATGCAAACTTTATGGTTTTCGCAATTTTGTTTCGATTAGTAATTCTAGCTCTCCGGATCGTATCGCGACTAATAGCAAAATCTGTAATGTCATGACCTAAACCTTTTGCTGCAGCTGCCAGTAAATAAGTCGCTTGGCGATCCGTGACGTTGGTTCGGTCAAGAGCAGATGCTAACTCAGGTGAAATGATATTTTGAGATCGCGATCGCTTTTTTACAACATTTTGATTAGATTTCTTTGGTTTCATAAATTCTTCATCTGAGGTTTCAGTACCAGATGTAGACTTGTCAGATAGGTGCATTGAATCAATGTGACTTGTATTTTCAGCTTCTTTTTTTCGCTTTTTTTCCTGAAAACGTCTGGACTCTTCTGATTCTTTTCTTTTTTAGACACGTTCTTCTGTTTTTGCCAATGCCATGTCAACTCCGGCCATGTATCCTTTACGTTCACCTCGCTGATCTATTAGAAATAGTCTGTCTTCTTCAATTGTAATCAAACTCATGGCATCAGCATGTGCTATATCAAAAATGCAATCAATTTCTTCACAAAAAAACATTTTCATTTGCTGTTTGTGTTGCCGAAGCTCGTTTCATGTTTTTCTTTATTTTAGCCCATTTGTAAAAAATATTTTCAAGTTTTTCAATTGCATTACGTTCAATAGTTGTTGGAATTCTTGCCATATTCCACAAATGAAATACTTCTCGAATGACACACCTTGCACTTTGTCTAACGGTTTGTTTTTCTATTTTGTGAAGATGAAAAAACACTGCAAGAACTTGACGACATGTTGGAAGCTTCATCCCAGAAATATTTGGAGAAACAGACCCAACAAGATAAATGTCAGTAGTTGTTCGAGTTTCAATTTTTTTGAAAACGAAGGGAAAGATAACTGAGAATTCATATTACAGGATATTTCTGAAAATCAAAATATAACCTGAGTAAAACAATTGTTATCACAAAATGAATTTATTTTTTTAAAGCCTCAAATCAGCACTCATATGAACAAAAATTAAAATGCTTTGCGGTATATTGTCAAATATAGTTGCACACTATTAAATTAGAAAAATATATTTAAAAAATATTTAAAATCGATTAAAATAATTATCATAATTAATTAAATTAAATCAAATTAAGAGTTATGTCATAATAAAATAAATAAACAAATGTACATATTAAAAACTTCACAGTAACGTTAGAATAGGAAAATAATGGCAATTAAAAGAGGAAACATCGACCTCTAAAAGTCATTCAAATTTGCTTAAATTTTGCAGGAATTAATATAATGATAAAAGGAACAATAGGAAAAAGTACCACATTGATTTTTGAAACTTTTGAAATTGTCAATATATTTGTGCACCACCCTAATATATATATATATATATATATATATATATATATATATATATATAATATATATATATATATATATATATATATATATATATATATATATATATATATATATGCTGCTACATTGACAGAGGATTTGGTTAGGGCAGGCAGTCTATCGTTTATAAAAAAAAATACATTTAACTTTTTAAACTTTATCTGGTCTGGTTTTTTGGAACTTTCTTTAAAACTACAGTTTATGGAAGAAACTTTTTGACTACCATTTAAGACTATATATATATATACATATATATATATATATATATATATATATATATATATACATATATATATATATATATATATATATATATATATATATATATATATATATATATATATATATATATATATATACATATATATATATATATATATATATATATATATATATATATATATATATATATATATATATATATATATATATATATATATATATATATATATATACTACCATTTACCATTTAAGACTATATATATATATATATATATATATATATATATATATATATATATATATATATATATATATATATATATATATATATATATATATATATATATATATATATATATATACATATATATATATATATATACATATATATTATATATATATACATGTATATATATATACACATGCGTTAGTGGTGTAGTGGTAAGAGTGCTCGCTTTGTAAGCGAGAGGTTTGGAGTTCGACTCCCACCATGTCCCTGGAAGTACCGCGCTCAACTTAATTTCTCCGCGCAGCAGCCTTGCTTGTCAAGGTTCGTGTTTCGGAGTTAAAGAGTTGAGAGAGGGTTGTACCACAATTTACAACAAAAAAAAAAAAAAATGAGTAGCCTCCTCGACTTTAGTGGCCCCCTCGGGCCTTGGGGAGGTGAATAATTAAAAAAAAAACATATATATATACATATAGATATATATATATATATGTATGTATATATATATATATATATATATATGCAAATATATATATATGAATATATATATATACACCCTCCGTGCATATTAAAAAGTCTACCAAACAAAGAAATTTTTGAAAAAGCTGTTTCTCCTTATCAAGGATGCATTGTTAAAATTGGGTTTCTCATCCAAGCTCAAATATCAGTCAGATATAGAACCCATTCAAAACAAAAATCACAAACGGAACATTATTTGGTATAATCCCCCATATAGTAAAAATGTTGTAACAAAGATACATAATCTTTTTTAAAAATAATCGATGCAAGCTATCCTGTTGGTCATTTATTACACAAGATTTTTAATAGAAACACCATTAAAATTAGCTACTCATGTAAGCGAAACGTTAAGTCAGTCATTAATTCGCATAATCAAAATATTTTATACAATCATAAAAAAACAGCAATAAAAACCTCCAACTGCATCAATAAATCTACCTACATTATGAACAACCAGTGTCTAAGTAAGAACATTGTGTATCAAACTACTGTTTCATCCAATAAACCAGATTCCACAGAAAAAGTTTATATTGGTATTAATGAGACCCCTTTCAAGTTAAGGTATGCAAACCATTTAAAATTTTTTTTAATTTAATTAAGTATAGCAATGATACGGAACCATCTAAAGAAACTTTGAAACTTGTATTACACACCTTTAAACTGTAAAGTTTCTAGCAGTAAACATCCTCAAAGTTAAATTGAAAGTTATCTTGTCATTTAAGAGTGTATTATAATTTGTGAAAGAGCTAAAATCCCTACCAGAGTTATATCTAACTGTGTAAAAAAACTTGTGAATTTTCAATATGCTTGGAAAGAGTTGGAAAAGCAAAAAAATTCCAAAAAAATACAAAATATTCACAAGTGCTGTGTGAAGGATTTTCAAGAAAATTGATTTGTATGATATAATAGACGTTGAGATGGGTGACAGGAATAGTGTCAAAAAATGAACTTCAGAATAGTGTCGAATATATCAAAAAGGCCTAATGTCACAAAAAAAAGGAATAGTGTGGCAAATGAATTTAATGAATAGTGTTACTAATAGTTAATTTCAGCAATTGCTTACTCATTTTGATCATCTTTATAACATATGACTTTTACAAAAAAAAAAAAAAAAAAGAATAATGAAGGAAAAGATTGCTACCGAACCCCAAACCCTCAGTCGATGTAGCGGCGCTCCTTTGAAGCAGCAGGCTATAAGATATTTGGTGTATGTACTAAAACCCCCGGTAGCAGGCTATTTCAGTATGACATCAGACATGTTATCTAAATGTACAATTATAGTTATTATAATTTTTTTTATTTTTGTTACTATTTATTAAACTCCTTTAGGACATTATTCCTTTTTTTTATTTTCAACACTATTCATTAAACTTTTTTATTATTTTTTTTTTTTTGACACTATTAAATTCATTAAATTCATTTGCGACATTATTCCTATTTTGTTATTTGACAATCAATAATGCAACACTATTCTTTTTTAACATTTTCAACAATCAAATTTGCAAAAATCAAAATTTTGCAACACTATTCTGCCACACTGTTGAGATTTTGGAACGGATAATAGAAATAGAAAGATAATTTTTTTTAATTTTACAAAAACAAAGAGAATAACAAAAGAGACAAAAATATGCTTTAAATGGTGATAGTTCATGGAATTATTACTTGGACTAGATGTGAGAAGTTTCTTTTTAGCACAAACAAATTTTTAATAACCTGGTCTTGCAACCTGGTTTCAACCTGGTCTTGCAGTCCCAGTTTGACAATGCAAAATTTTTTCTTCTTTTCTTGTTTCTGTTTTTTACTTTATTGTCAAATTATAAAAATATTTCTTTATAAATGTTTAAATGAAATTTAAACTTTTTAAACAATTAATAAAATTAAGTTTAACTAGAAAGGTAAAAATCCTTGGACCAGCATTGTTTCTGATCTATATTAATGAGCTTTCTGAAATTAATCAAATTCCTATAATAATTTCCTATATTAGTTCTAAAGAAGAATGCCTGCCAATTCAAATTCTATTTAAAGAAATAAAAATAAATTCTAGCTCTACACAAACTGGAGAGGACTTTTTCTTGACTGGAGAGAATTTTTTCTTGAATTCAGCTAAAGTTCCATTAAACCCACTTTATGACTGGAACTTTAATGACAAAGTACAAATAATGTGCTATGACACAACTACATCTAATACAGATGGTTGAAAAGAGCTTGTGTACTTTGGAATAAAAACTAGATAAGGAATTGCTACTCTTGGCTTGCCGCAATCACATTTATATTTTAAAATGTGTGTTAATTAACAAAAATCTACTAAGTCGCAAGCAAAACCCCTGATATTCCGATGTTCAAAATGTTTGGAGAAACTAGTTAAAAGTTAACTGTAAAACTATTAACCCCGCCCTAATATATATATTTATATATATATATATATATATATATATATATATATATATATATATATATATATATATATATATATATATATATATATATATATATATATATATATATATATATATATATATATATATATATATATATATATATATATATACAATGTATATATATATATACATATATATACATATATATATATATATATATATATATATATATATATATATATATATATATATATATATATATATATATATATATATATATATATATATATATATATATACATATATATATATACATATATGTATATATATACATATATATATATATATATACACATATATGTAAGTGTGCCCTGGGCAGCATAAATAGGAGTCTTCATAAATTATATATGTATTACTGATTTTTACTTTTTCACATTTTTAAAAACAGACAAAAAATAAAAATCAATAAAACATTAATAATTCATTATTGATAAGTCTAAAAAGAAATATTCTTCTATATTTTCAAAAAGAAACAGGAAAACATCTACAATATTTATGTAACAGAAGATTGGTGTTAGTAAAACAAACACAAAAATCATTCTATTTTCTATCTTCTAAATTTTGCAACAGTTTCATTAGAGGCATTTAAACGTGGTGAAGGTTGATGTTAAAGGAACCATTGTATCTTTGGAAAATTTTCAACATTTTTGACAATGATAAAGAAATTGTATTTTATTATCAATCAATTAAAATAAAATGATTAGAAATGATGAAGATGAAAATGAAAAAAATCACTAACCGATTTCTTCAATCAACTAACTGATTGCTTGAGTTAACTAACCGATTACTTGAATCAATTACTGATTTTGGGATGTGCCTTTTGAATAGTTTCTTTTTGTAGGCTTCTAAAAGTCAATCTGAACCTAAAAGCAGTAGCGATTCAACACATCTTTCATATGAACTACAACAATCACATAAGAATAATTGGTGTGTCATTTCAGTAAGTTCTATGCACTTGAGCTTGGATACTCCTGCTAATAATCATTCAAATGAAGATCAACAAACGAATGTGGAAAACAATAATAAAAGTAATCAGATCCTGCCAGCTGAATCTTTTGACCATCATTAAGCAAACTTCATCAACAACAATGATATTTATGCAGGTATAATACTTGTCTATAATTAAAAAAAGTTCTATTATTTGAAAGATGTTTCATGATTTCATTTTTATTTAGAACTAAGCAGTGGATGATGAAGACCATGACTTAGATAAAGAGGATGCTTCAGCAAGTCCAACCAATCAGATACTAAATTCAACTCTTTAACCTAAGAGATTCAAAAAAATCTTCATCTTCATCTTCCCAACATCAGTTGTAATCCGTCACACTAATATATGTTAAATATCAAATGTATTTTCAAGGTTTTAATTACAGATAACTTTTGTTAAAAAAGGAAGTTAAAAGGACACCATTTTTCATTAATACACCAATGTGCCTTTCTCAGATTCTTAGTTATTTCATTTCAAAAAAAAAATACTGAATGAAAACTTAATGATATAAATACCTTGTGTGTACTTCTTTGCCAGGGTAGTATCTTTCTCGCCTTTTTCTACGATAGAAATATTTTATTTCTAATGTAATAAACTTTACATATTTTAATATGCATTTTTCAAACATAATTTATAATGTTATACTATATATATATATATATATATATATATATATATATATATATATATATATATATATATATATATTATATATATATATATATATATATATATATATATATATATATATATATATATATATATATATTAGGGTTATGACTTTTAGAATTTTTTTTAAAAAATTAATTTCCTGTATCATAAATCGATGAACTTTTATTAAAAAACATTGAAAACATGTTCAATCCCTCTCGGTTGTAAAAAAAAGGGTCAAACTACGTTTTGTCATTTATTTAATCTTGTTACTTTTACTACTAATACGTGTGGCTTTCTTGCAAATCATTTAAAACTTGTCTAGATTAGATGTGTTTAGAACTTCAGAACATTTTGGAAAATAACAGAATATTTTAGAAGACTTTAAAACATTCTGGAACAATTTAGAACATTCTAAAACAATTTAAAATATTTTGGAACACTCTAGTACAATTTAGAACATTCTAAAAGATTCTAGATCATTTTAGACTATATATAGCTGCTCATCTCATTTTATAGTTAATACAGAAGCAACATATGGCATCATACAAGCCTATCGATAGTAGCATTCAGGCGAACAAGGATGTCTGGACCAAGAATCTGGTAAAATTTGAAGACTCTCATTAAAGAATGGTCCCTTTGGAAGAATATTCACTGGAAGAAAAGTGCAGAATGCCTCTCCAAAAGCAAATCCTTGGACCAAAAATCAAAGGAAGAAAGGAGCGAATAGTGGAAATTTCCAAAAAAGTCAATTGTAGAATAATAAACTGAACTTTTTTCATGTATCTGATCAAGTTATACGAGCAAAGCTTGATAAAATACTGAAACATCATGATGAATGTGTCAAGTGGGGAAGCTACGAACCCCTTGATCAAATTTTTGATGTTATTAAA